CTAGTTTATCTGGCACGCCGTGTTGGGAGGGGGGAGGGGGAGAGAAACAGGTAAATACTTCCCATAAGTCTCAGTGACCACAGACATCCTGATGATTAACCAATTAGAGGCCGTCTTCAGTAAATGCAGCGGCTCCTTATATTGCCTTTGCTCTTTACCTGAGGCAGCATGTGAAAGTGGCAGCTTGCAGTTCTGTCTGTCTAAATCCAGGGTGGAGTACAAACAAAGCATTTAAGCCTTCTCCTTTTGACTCCTTTCTCCTTTTAGGGGTGAGACTGGAGAGGGCCGTGCCGTTTCATTGTTCTGTGTGGAGCTGGGAGCTGGGCGTTGGGGGTTGGCATGAGGGAGTGCAGAGTGAACTCTACTCGATGCTATTTTTCATTCAGGGCCTGTGATGGCTGTCAGAGCGTAACTGAAAGGATACCACTGACAGCGTTATTTTTAGCCTGACTGATGGATGCGGAGACCCGCCACTGCCAACGTGAGCAGAAGTGTGCAGCGTCTTTCCGGACACGTTCTGGACAGAGCCGCACATCTCTCTCTTGCACGTGACCAGACTCGCCCCGGAATAGGAGCTCTTTGGAAATGGGAAGTAGTTTGCATGGGGAGCGAATGACACCGTAATTTGTGCAGTAACACGAGCGGTGGTTTTGCCCAAATTCTGCGGTGGCTGTTGTGCCTCTACCCTCAAAGTGCGAATTGCAAGGAGGGCTGGGCCCAGGCAGGGTGACCCGGCACCGGTCCAATTGTGACACTGGCGAAGAGATTCATTAGTCGGCACTTGTGGGTCTTAGTGAAGCGTTTCAAGTGACTGTCATGGGCAGAGTGTTTAATTAAATCGAGCAGACGGGGCCAGACACTGGGACCGATGAGGGGGGACAGGGAACACTGAGGCGGAACTAGACAGGGGTGGCTGGTGGGATTTCTGAGATTTCTCTTATTCCAGCTGAGGTCTGATTACACATGCAGGTCTGTGCTTCCCTCTCGGAGGACGGAGAGCTGTATGGGGTGCGAATTGTCCTGTTACTGACAGGCTTGCATTAACAGTCACAGGACATCCTTAGGTGCTCTACCCCTGCATCAGCATTCAGTCTTTCCGTTTGCCTGCGAGACTGCTGATTTATACTCCTGATAAACAAACAATAGTACTGTTTAGCAGGAAGTCAAACAAAATGTATATCTAATGCATCTCCCAGTTCCTCCTGTATGCGAGGAACTCGTGTTTTGGTTCCTAATAATTGCAGCTGGAACAGTAAACCCGAGAGCCGAACCCATCCCCCCCCAGTGGTGATGGCTTGGAAATCTTGCCCATACTAATGACTGTTTCCGGGCAACAGGAAGTGCCTCTCGGGCAACAGGAAGCTGCCCGTCAGCCCTGCAAGCTTGTTTTCCTGAGTGCCTCCAGGTTTCCTTTATCACCATGCTTTTTAGTGGCATGATCCTCATGCATCATGTCACTATAGTATGTACAGTAGTTGAACCTTAGACTTTAATGGTTCACCGAGGTCCCAGATTCCCTTTTGACAGATGTGACTGTCTAGAAAGTAAATGGCGCTTCCTGTTTATGGTTGACATCCCTGCCTGTGAGAATCTTTAATATTCAGTTAGAGCAGGTTGTCCCAGTGCCACCCAGGGGGGCAGGGGGGGGGGGGGGGGGGGGG